AAAAATAACATTGGCAACCAGGCCTAAATGTATGAGTCTACTATATACTAAATGAATATTGAAAAGATTAACAAAAGGCCCTTATGCAAAATAGAACGTATGAATCGCACACAAAAACAACATACGTTTAACATCATGTGAGATGTATTTTTCTTTTTTTTTAGAATGTTACTTTTATCAAATCAGGGAAAGCTTTGCCTCCCCCCACAATCCCCTTGGCCGGGGACTTCGTCCCCTGGACCCTCAGTTAATCTCCAAATGTTTAAATAATGCTAATGATTGAATAATGTTTCATTACTCATACCTGCAAAAGTATATTTTAAATTCGTACACTGTTTGCATATGCATATTACCAGAGCATGCACATGTAACTACGGAACATATACACGTCGCTGTTTGTCGTCGGTGTAAGTTTTCCTAATCTTAACAGTGATCAATTTTATCAATTAATATCTCGATTCGTAGTAAAGAGTGACGATTTTTCCAAATAGAAAAGTTGTTTGCCTTTAAAAAACGCGTCGAGTATTTTTTCGTCAAAATCGGAGGCGAGGAGTATAAACTGTATAATTACCATTTTTTTAATTATAAAGATTAATATTTCTTTATATTCTTACTGAATATTTCTAATTTGACGCAGTGTCACTGCGCATGCTCATATACTTCACCAATGTCGACATGACAGATTGTGTAACCTCGAAACTTGTACTTCTTGCATCATAACTTTATTACGATTAATGAGTGACATTTTTTACTTTTATATTCCTTTTCTACGCATCTAATTAAATAATATTACTATCTTTCAATCAAATCGATGAAGAGGAGGGGTCTCCTTCAGTTTTACCTGATTTAATATATATTCCTTTTAAACTATAATGAAATTTCAAGCAGTTTAAGTAAAAATGCACATTGAATTTCTGAGTATTTTGAAATTATTCACACTTACCAGAACAACTCAATCAAATAAAGTTAAAAGAAAATGACTTGAAGAAAAGAGACAAATAGCAAAACTTTTTACATCTACGTGGATTAAAGGCCGATAAAAGTGACGAGCAAATCTTGATTTGATTTTAGTGACCTCGTACAACGAAAGCATAAACCTTCACATCCAGAACATGGACCCTATTCTGTAACTACTTACCAACAGTTGTCATTGTCGTTAACGGCACCAACCCACTAGAGACCCTCAAAGAGAGACTGGCCATCATTGGCTGCGTTCAGAAAACATAACTGATCAGTGAGCGGTTAGTGATTATTGGTCCTTATTGTTAGATCTCTAACTTTAGATCAATTACGTTGACTAATTACTCAACCATTGTGTAACCATTGGCTGCATTCAGCAGACTCAACAGTTGCACAACAGTTGAGTAATTTGTCAATGTAATTGGTCTAGATTTAGGGATCTAATAGCAAGAACCAATAATCGTTGATTGCTCACTGAGCGCTTTTTCTACTGAATGCGCCCA